AAAGTTTTTGACCAGTCTTATATATAATTATAAATCTAAAAATCATAAAAGGGATATTATAATTCAATTTGGTCAAATATATTTGAATGCACTCTAGTTTTATAAATTGTCTTATGTTTGTCTGTTGTCTCTCTGCTTGTACAGTTGAGCTCAATTTTTTTTTCTCTTTTCCTTTTCACCTTTTGAAAAAAAAAATTTTTTTTCCTTAAAAGATATTCACCTATTATTGGGTTGGCTTACAGATATTATTAAATTAAAGGCATGCCCTTCTTCCCCCAGGTTGCTAACTGATCAAAGTGCCATCGAAATTTATTTGTCAAAGTATATAGAGATCATGGGTACTCCCTTTGGTGAATAAAGAAGCGGCCGCCCAGAAAATAATTATTCTGGTCTTAATTCACTAAAGGGACCCCCTAGTAATTTTCATAATCTTATGGGAGACACACTGCAATAAATATTATCTCACTGTTATTATAAATTGATTACATTGGTTATCATTGAAGTTTAAGTTCTAAATATGTTATTATAAAGTGTTTATATTGGTTAAGTTCTAAAAATGTTATTGTGATATGTCTACATTGGTCATCTTCAAAAGATTAATTTCTGTGGCATAAACAAAAGAGTTATTAGAAAGATGATTTGGGTAACAAACTACATTGAAGAACATAAGGTTTTATATAACTGTGATATTTATTACTGCTCCTTTTCTGGTGTACAAAATGTATTCATGCCCTCTAATTGTATGGGTCTTCCAACATACTGTTTATGGTAATAACCTTTTGATTTAGATATCTGCCCTTCTCTTACGCTCCAGCCAGCTATGATAATAAGCACACTTGTAGGCTGATTTATTTTCCTTAGATGACATCCTGTAAAAAGATAGCTACTTAGGGATTCAACCACAAGAGCAAACATGATTGGCAATTATAACAGTTTTTAACTATATTTTTATTCCAAAATGCTTAATGTCCAGGTAAAATTATAATAGTTGAGTTCACTACTCCTCTTACAATGCTAATGTTATTGATCTTCTCTTCTGGGTGTTCAACAACCAAAGTTTAGAGACCAAAACTGAACAGGTATCTGGGCTAAGAAGGCAGCCAGTATTTTGGCCCTGGTCCTCCTGTGAGACCTAACTAACTCCATTTTAAAGTTTGACTCCATCTTAAAATAAGACAGTGAAGTGGCCTTGACATAAATTCCACTTCACTAAAGTCAACTATTCCCCTAGTCTCCTTTGTGCCCATAAAATAATGATAAAATGTCCTTGCTGTGGGATGACGGATAAAAAAAGGACACAGCTCCTAACTCAATCCTCTGTCTGCCCAGAAAACAGATGC